TGTTTTCAAATTTGCATAGTGGCTACTTTGTGTCTCTTTAGGACTTACAGTATTATCTCAATGTAGCCTGCCTTCTTCCCCAAGCCAGTGGGCTGTGGATGCCCATCCCTATAATCACAGCCTACCTTGTATCTCAGGCCTTATAGCATTTTCCAGGAATCTCACTTGATAACTACTCACAGAAGTCTTTTGGATAAACAGAGGAATGGCTTATTGTTTTTAAAAATATTTGTATCTTATGAGAGAGTTCAGTTTCCTGAACACAACACAACACCTTAACAGGTTGGAAAGAATAAATGAAATCTACAAAATCAAGATAGAGTAGACCCTTGCCTTACAACCTCAATCAGTTCCCAAGGGTTGGTGTAACACAAGGTGATTGTAAGTCAATACAGCTGAGATCTGGATGTTTACCTGGGTACACACAATGGATAACAAGAGGCAGATGAATCTTCCATTAACCTAATTAACCCAAATTGTTTGTATGTCAGGCCAGTGATAACATGAGGATCTATGGTATAAACACCTGCGTTATATGCATGTTAATGCAAAGTGGGTTAAAAAAACTGCATTCATTTATTTTAAAACATCCACTGTTCAGTTCCTGTGAGCTAGGCATGGTGTAAGGAATAGGATATAGTCAAAGGCAAAAGAACATGGTTTCAGTCCTCAAGGAGAATATTCATTGTCCATCAGAAACACTGACACAAATCAAACAAAAATACCAACATGGATGAACTGACAACTATAATCAGTGCCAGTCCTTGAGCACATAAAACATGAAGACTGTTCAGGGAGCAATGATTCTTAGAAGGATGATAGAGTATAAATTTGAAGGCTGGATAGGAGTTAAATAGAAGAAAGCAAGAGAACAAGGGTAACTTCTAGGAAAAAAGTGAAATTTTCCAGAAAAGAAAATAGTTTTTCCTTTTTTCCAACGCTCCTCAAATGGAAAGATACAGGATTTATCTGAAGATCTAAGAAGACAGGAAGAGAAACAGAAGATGAAACTGAAGAGGTAGGGAAGGAACCAACTCACCCTGGGCCCTGAAGTGGTCCTGATAGGTGACTGCCTTTTCCTTTCATGCGGGGCTAAGGCATGGAAGGAGCTTCGCTCGGAGTGGCAAAATTAGGTTTATGTTTTTTAAAACATCTGCAATTTAGCAATTTTAAAATATGACCCAAATTAAAATAATTTGAGGGGCTCTTAAAAAACTCCATTTTCTCATTGCCCTCCCATTTCAATACAATCAAAATCTCTGTTGCTGAACCCCGGCTCTGATCAGTTTAAAAGCTTCCCAAGGTGATTCTAATGTGAAGGTAGGCTTGAGAATCACAGGTGTAAATGATGCGGGAGATACAGCGGGGTGATTAGCACCTGTCGCACAGAGGGGGCCAACAGGATTTGTCTTAGAATAATTGAAAACAGTGGCCAAAAATCTAGTGTCTCTGATAAGGACTGCATTAAAGGAAGCATAGTTTCTGAAAGAACAGGGTCTATTCCTCCTTCCCCTTCATCAGATCCAACATTCCCGAAAAGTTTGTTCAGCTCTCTGTGCTACACGTAGGGAAGAAACAAATCAAACTGAACTAATCCTGGAGTCACATCACACCTGGTGATAAATAGCGTCTGAGCCATGACAGGTAGAACTGATCTAATAGCCTCAAATATGTTTAAACAACAGTTAAAAATGATTCCTTACAAAGGGATAACAACATTGAAATCCTTGTTTCAAGTAGGTCAAAGTTGTTCTTTAGTCAAAGGGTAAATAAGAACACCTACTATATAACAATTCTAGGCCTTGGGGAAGTGGCAGAAAACAAGGCAAACAGAAATCCTTGCCTTCATGGAGTTCATATTCTAGTGAAAAACCAAGTTTTCTGGCTCATACAATCCTCACGATCAGAATTTTTAACTGGCCTTTGTGACTAGCAACCGTGAGATTTGTATATAAGAAGACGTATTTCCATTGTAATTTTAAAAACACCGAAAGTAGAAGTCTCTGCAAAGCAAAAGAAGTCACCACTTACAAAAGAATACAAGAAGAGTGACTGATGTGAAGGGGATTCAAAGATCTACCGGCAAAGATGAAGCGCTGTGATAGCAAAGAGGTTGATGAGCGGTCCCTAGTGCCCTTTGCCAAACTGCACACAGAGTAGCAGAGTGCTGGATACGAGCAGCACTTACGTTATTGGAGCACTGGCTCTGCGCCCTGTCCTCTGCTACCCGTGAGTGTCTTACCATGTACTTTATTATTTCACATAACACACAACACTCATATAAAGAGAATGAAACATTGTCAAATTATAATTTTTTTAAAAGTTAAAAAACATGATTAAAGTTCAAGGATTTTATTTGACTAATTCATAAGAGAATTGGCATAATGGTAAGACGAGTTCCAAGAGTGTTTCAAGAGCTCAGTATTTAGAGCTATTTAGAGATATTAATAAAGAAATGGCAGCAGGAGAGTCCTAGGTGTGACACAAAACTAATGATGTCCTATAGTACAATGTACAGTCACATTATTTTTTCTACTATGAAGAAATTTTTATTTTTTACTTGACAAAAACTCTCCCATGTTAATCATATAAATTTACCAAGCATGGGACCAGCCTTCAATAGTGAACAGTGAGTTCACATATTCCTCTAAAATACTTCTTGAGAGGCTTTATTAAACAGTTCTCACATATGACATTGAGAAACCTGACAGCCTTTGGGTCTTATTTTCATGTGTAAGATAATGCATCTAAACATTTAAGAACTAAGTCATTTTGGGGGGGTTTCCAGCTAGTTATCCAGAAGCAGGATGTCATGCTGAGGTCCTTTCTTCAGATACCCACACTGAAGACAGCCAAGCAGACAGACTTTGAGGACTCCGTGGGATGATTTAGATCATAGCACTGTCATTTGTCTTATGTGTTAGGGCTGAACTTGGTTTTTCCAGTGATTGGATTTTTTACTTGATTTCCTAAACATTTGTAAATCACTGGAAACTAAGAATTACTTGAACTACTTGTTTTGTTTGCCTGGAGGAAGCTGGGCACAGCAAATGTGATTAATACAAAACGAATGGTTCCTTAACCGCTTGGGACCATTGGTTGGAAGACAAAGGCTGTGGAACCCCAGATCACACAGATAGAAATCTGATTCTTTAGAATTCATAGCAGCTGTTTTTTCCAAACATTTTCTTTCTCAATTTGTGGGGCTTTATTTTTTGCTGCTGCTGGTGTTAATTTAGGACACTGCAGTTTTTGAAGCTGGGAATTGCAGTTGTTCGTGCTCTTCTATTTTTATAATGCTAAGGCTGAGATCTATGGAGGGAAAGTCCAGTTCTGCAAATGGCACTCTGTTCAGTCTCACAGAGCTGACTGCAGATTTTATCTCACTCTTTTCCTGTCCTGTGAGCTCATCTTGAGCAAAAGACTTTGGTGTGTGATTAGGGAATAAATAAAAAGTAGCTGTGGGGCTGGCTTAAAGTTCCAATAGGGCTTTAGGATACTTTCCTGTGTTTAAGGAGATAAACCTCTATTATATAAAGGTAAAGCAGCAGAAAACTTAACTAACCAATCAAATAGTTTATTCTAGCACCCCTACTAGATGGAAGAGCCCAGTTTTGCATTGAAGTAAAAGAAAGGGTCTCATTTCTGCTCCATTAAAAATGAGAAATTGATTTATAAGCACTGTCATAAGTATAACATGGACTATCTCAGTGGGTCCTTGAACTGTCTATATGGTAAACTCTGTCACTGTTCCCATTTCACAGATGAGAAACCGAGGTACAGAGAGTTAAACAGGCTTGCAGGAGTTCATAGCTGGTAAGGAGCAAACAGATGAGATGCAGGCTGCCTGATTAAAAGCCCTATCTGAAGGCCTGAGGATATTGCTTTCTCATATTATGAGGAAATAGAGAAAGCACGCAGAGGAGGAGCACAATAGCCTTTTTTAGCCACAGCTCTGCCTTAACTGTCTCAGCAACTCCGGGGGAGTTATCGTCATCTTTCTGGGCTTCCTTCTCCCTGTGTAAGATGAAGGCTGGAAACAATTTGGATTGGGTGGTCTCTGGGGTTCCTTCCAACTCTAAAGTACTCTGATTCTATAATTGCATCCTGACCTTAGATATAACACACACACACACACACACACACACACACATGCAGTGCTTCACATGGCAGAACTCTAATCTCTCTGAAAGTGCCCACTAAAATCTCATGCTAAGCCCAAGACCCCATCAAATGCTATTATTTACAGCAACCCATTAGGAGCACAGAACACTTTTAAAATCTGGAAAGCCAGTTTTCGGTTTTGTAAATTGCTAGTGGGGTGTGATTTTTGGAAGTAAAATGTTAATAATCCCCCCAAAAAAGAAAGAAAATAAAAAACACTTAAATACTGCTTTATCTTTGAATCATCTCTTTTCTGCAATGTTACCTTGACAACTTAGCTTCAGCTCTTTAGATATGGGACTTTTTAGTGTGTGAAAAGAGGGACGTCTCCCTTTTGTGGCTTGAGATTTGCTCTTGTTTTATGGGAAAAGGGAACGGTCAAAGGTAAGCCACAACGTCCAGTGGAAGATGCACAGCACGTCTTGAGAGTGTGTCGCCCCGCAGTAAACACAGGTGCCCGGAATCACGATGCATTCCCATTCCGATTCATTCTGCTTCCCATCCCCATAACACACACTGCAACAGCCTGAAAAATGTTACATTTTGGACCAGAGCAGAGAGCAACAGAAGTGCCTGAGAAAATAATTGCATTATTTTTAGTTGCTCCAACGATAGGTGTGCACATCGGTTGAGGGGACAGCTCCGAAGAACCAAAGCAGCCTGGAAATGCTAAAAATACTGTTCCCCCTCCAGCAATTGAAATTTTGAGCAAAGACTCAGGAAGCGGCAGGTAGGGAGATCAAATTAGAATTCATATCTCTCAGCTCTAGTAAGCTCGTGATCAAGCCTGGCGAGAGTGCTGGAGGGTAAGGAGGGTCAGCTGGGGACTCCGCGTGGCAGGAGTAAGTTACAAAGCGGCAGCGTTGAGCGAGGAGAGGGCTTATCTCCAGCACCTTGGCCCCCAGAGCAGAGCCTGTGTGGAGAATTGGTTCTGGAAGCACTTTTCCCTCCTGGAATAGGAGCCCAGCAGGGGCCGGAGCAGGGCGGCAGGCAGCAGAGAGCGAAGCTGTCCCTTGACACATGTGTTTCCCATCCATAGCTGCGAGTCAGACCGACAGAGCCAGATTGAGTATAGACAGAAAGTACGGTGGTTTCAAAGCAGCCCCAACAAGAACGGGAATGCTGTTCAGGAAATTCTTCAGGCATGGGCAGGGACTTGGCTACAGTTCTGCAGTTGGAAAATCTGACTGGGGCAGCTTCTGAGCTGGGCCTGCTCACACTCAGCAGGCTGAGTGGCCGCCTCCTTCACAGCTGCTCAGCACACCCGGGACCGCGGGCTGGCGGTTGCCATCGGCCCTTTGTGTAGCAGAGGAGGTAGGAGATGGTTCAGTTCTTGGCATTTCCCTGCCTCTCTGCACTTTCTAAGCCCTCTGTCTGTGGTTTGCTGGAGGCTCTGTGTGTGTGTGTGTATGTGTGTGTGAATTGGAACTGAATCCCTAAGTATTCCTCCTGGAGTTCTAATCTTTGCTTTCCCCAGCCCCCTTTAAGATCTGATTTTCGAGCAAGGCAGAGGCGCTTTGGAAAGTTAGGACTTAGCTGCTAATGCTATTGTGAAAAGGAAAAGTATGTGGGCTGTTTGTGTTGTCACCAGACTCCAACCATCTGTAACTTTTCCTTTCTGCCTGGAGGGACAGTTCATTGGCAGTAAACATAACTTTACATGGAATTGTCTGTCTTCAGAAGAGTTTTTAAAGGGTGTGTTCTAGCAGGAAATGGCTCTCATCTTTTGGAGGGAATCAGAGTTGAAGTTTCTGTTTTGGAACACACTTTCAGTGCATAGAAGCAGATATACATGTATGAGTTCCTGGCATCATATTTCTACACAGTGTTTTGATTTTCGTGATGAGACTTGAATGTCAGTAGCATATTTGCTGGGAAATGTGCTGGATTGTAATTTTGTTTTTTTCAATGGAACACTTACAGCTTTCTTCTCAAAAATACTTTTTTGTTATTGTTACGTTCTAAGACCATACGGAAAACCGTTTACTCAGTCCTTATTAAAAGAAGGAGACATATAAGTGTGTTACTTTATTGATCAATTGGTTTCACTTTACATCTAACTGAAAATAGTGCTCTTTTAAAAAAATCAAATTTTTAATAATTTTCAGCATAGACTGGAACCTGTTTTTCCTTTTGAGCATTAGTTTTTTATGCATATCAACTATTTTGTAATACAGGATTTTTACTTCATAAGAAAGATATGTTTTTTATATTTGGTACTTAGAATGTACACAGGACTTTGGAATAGTGTTTAAGAGACTGGTTTGGCTCAGATATAACTGCACTGAACTGTACTTTTCCTAGTAACAAGACCTTTTGGGGTGAATTTCTATGAAAACAGGTGTGAGTTTTCATCAGTGTCCTGCAGTCTCTAAACATGGAGTTCACAGGGCAGAGTGAGTTAAAGGGGCAGAGGTAGGTAGGGTAGGGGCTGGGGCTGGGGCTGGGGCTGGGGTGGCTTCTTCCTCAGCATAGGACTAGGATGGGGAGCCAGAACTTCATGCTGTTGGTCCAACATCAGGATCGTTAACCAGTAATTTTTTTTTCCTGCACACATTTGTGGTTGGAGGAGGGAAATGGCATATGACTGGGAATAGGATATTTTGTTCTAATGAGAGCTCTTGAAAGTTTTCTTTACTCATATCATCTTTGTGTCAGGCTGGACGTGGTTCCAGAGGTTTTAGAACTGTAGGATTCCCTACAAAGCAGGCAGTGCATTTAGAAGTCAGACTGGACTGTGGCTTTTTTTTCTAATGCCTGTGCCAATTAAGAGCTGACATGAACTACAGCCAAGCCCACTGCTAGTGAGAAAGGAGACTTCAGTGAGCTCCAATGTCACACCCCTCTAAATTTAGTGTGTGTCAAGCATTCAGCAGAAAGAGGCGTGAAGTAGCAACTCCGGGTTGCAGGATTATGAAGAAGGGTGCCAGAAACTTGGGAGAAATTGTGTTTCTCTCTTTTAGAAATAAAGGAGGCAAAACCAAAGTCCCTTGACATTTGAAAGGAAAAAAAGTAAAAGTACTGAAGAGGATAGGGAAGAAGAAATGTAGGGCAGAGGTGGAGGCAGTAGGGAAGGAATGCTGGCCCGACCACAGACTGGGCAGGGCGGGCAGAGGGAGGAGACCTTTGTGCAGGAATAGAGCACGCTTTGTGGAAGCAACGAAACTCACCAGGCACTGACATGTTGGGCTTGAAGTGTGCAGGTAAACTGTGGCCTCATTGCAAACGATCATCTTCCTCTCTTCACGATGGGAGACCTGGTCAGCCTGTCCTGCTGGGCCTCTGGAAGTAATCAGAAAGCACATTTTGTAAAAATAGCTATACCAGGGCTCAGATTTCCTAAGCAGGGAGGGAACAGGGTCTTGAGGCCTTATTTTTAACCTGGACTTGTTTCTTGGGACGATACTCCTGCTGGAGGGATTGAATGAAGGGACCAGGTGGGGAGGAGTGAGTGAATGCATTCAGCAAAGCTTGTTATTCAAGATCCTGCCTGTGGTTATTCTATTAAGACAAACTTTTGGAAGATAAGACAGCGTGCTACTTTGCTGTATTCTGAAAAAGAAATGTCTTTTATTTTTTATTTAAGTAAAAAATCTCCAAGGGCAGTGACTGCATTTTGGTTGTAGAGAGGTTCTACAATGAAAAACAGCAATATGCTACGTAGATTACATAAAAGAGAAATTTATTATGGTTATTGGCTCACACAATTATGGACGCCAGGAAATCCCATGACAATAACATGCAATATGGACACCCAGGAAGTCCAGGGTTATAATTCAGTCCTAGTCTGAAGGCCTGGACACCAGGAGAGTGATGGCAGAACTCCTACGGTAGTTGGAGACCTAAGGATTGTAGAAGCAGGAGTGGGTGGGCTGGGGATTTAGCTCAGTGGCACCGTGCCTGCCTCGAAAGTGCAAGGTCCTGAGTTCAATCCCTGGTATCAAAAAGAAGCAGCAGGAGGAGGAAAGGTGGTAGGGACCATACTGATATAATCTCTGGAGTCTGAAGGCCCCAAAACCAAGAGTATATGTCACCTCAAGGATAGAAAGAGAAGTTTCCCTTCCTCTGCTTGATGATTCTATTTGAACCCTCAATTGAATGCATGATGCTCACTTACATTGCTGAGGGCCATGTTCTCTCAGTCTACTACTGATCCACATGCTGGTCTCTTGTGTAGATGCTCTCAAAGACATGCCTCTAAATAATGTTTTACCAGCTATGTGGGAATCCCTTAACCCAGTCAAGGTGACAAATCAACTACCACACCGGTGGAAGTAACACTGATGTTATAAGATGAGAAAGTTTGTGAAATTGTAGGTCTGAGAAGCCGGAAGGGACTTGGGCTATCCTCTAGTTTAGTGTTTCTTGATTTTGATAACATACGGGCTCCTTCTAATAGGTGAAGAAAGATCCATGTTTCACTGTTGGCTTAATTATTTTTAAAACATGTACATACAGGGAAAAGTCACCTAGTTATTACCTCCTTACTCTCTTTTTTCTGAAGTTTTTAGAAAATGTAATTGTCAAATAATTGTTTGTATTTAAGGTGTCAAACATGCTTTAAAAAGAAACCTGTGTACACATGAAAGATTCATTTGAACTAATTAACATATCTGTCCTTTTAATAGCTCATCATGTTTTCATGAGAAAGTTAAAGATTGTTCTTTTAGAAATTTTGTAATACACCCTATGTGTCCCATGTAACAGGAATGTATGCTTTTATCTATAACGAGAAAATTTCTGAGTTCAATACAGAGAAAATATATAATCAGATTATTAACAATGATCGGTGGGAAAGGATGCTTTACTGCATTTTAAAAAGGCTTATAAACAAAGGAACAGTAGCTACGTGAAGATTATTTTAATGTTTAGCATTTTCATACATATGTGTTCTAGACACTTGTGTGCCATGATCTCCCTTGACCTGAATCTGAAAGAAATAAGCTATTTTGGTAGTTTCTCATTATTCATGAGCACAAAAGTAAGATCAGTGCTGCCAGGACGATCATGCAACATGGCAGGAGCCGTTAGTCCTGAAAGCAGGTCTCTAGTTCAGAGAACAGGCTTTGCATTAATAACCAAATAAAATAATTCAAGTAGAGAAGTCCCAGATACTTGGGAAGATCTGGGAGCCCTGGTGGCTTGGGGACTCTGTTAAGAGTTGCAGTTCCTGACGAGTACTGGTTTTCTGGAAGAATGCACTTGGGAATCTTGGAAGGAATGACTTTAGAAACGCTCCTGTGTGAATTTCTGATGTACCCCAGACACTTATTTCCTATATTAGAATTTTGCAAGAAATTTCATTTAGAAGAGCGTGTTGATGCTGGATCAGTGACGACTGCATTTGGCTGCAAGTCACTAAACCTTGCTGGAAGAAGTCCAAACATGCAGGGTCTTTCTGTGCATCCAGACGTCCCTCAGACTGACACTGTCTCGTACTGTGACATCTGAGCCACATCCTAGGTGATCACAGCCTCCTCTCTAGACACTTAAACTTATCACCACATTCTCCTCTCCAGGGGTCCTGTTCAGGTCAGTGCAAAAGCAGCAGGACACAAAGGGGAAAGCTGTCTCTCTTCTTGATCTTTTACTCCTTTAGTCAGGGAAGAATGGCCTTCCTTGTAGACAAGTCCATCTGACTCAGAGTACATAGGTCAAATTGGGCCGCTTGTCTACTGATCAAGCACCAGCCCACCTGGTGTAGACTGGTCTTATTCATTCTCTGACTCTGGAGTAGCCCTATAAATCCAGATTAAACACTTCTTTCCTAATGATGAGTATCTTTGTTCTGTTAGTAGTTAAGAATGTGGAGGATGTGTGGGGGGGGGGCATGATAGACAGTATGGCCCACAAATGCTTAAAAGTTTGTCTTTAAAAATGAATAAAATTAAATCCTTTTCTTGCATTATATGGAAGTGGATATGGAGGCCTGAAATGATAGTTTTCTTGCATCAGGACCACAACCAGTCAAAGACAATGGCGGTGCATGACTCTTGGTCCTTGACTCCTGAGCCTGGGGGAGGGGTGCATATTATGGACGTGGACTCAGCAATGCCAGTTGAGTGACACTTTGGAACGTAGACCAGGTACTATTATAGTGGAATATTATTATTCTTAGAAAATCCCTCAAATCTCCTGGTTTTTCACTGTCCACTAAGTCTGTGATTGTATTTGGAGAATGCCTGTATTTCTAAGGGCCCCTCCAGGAGCTGGTCCACAGAAGTGCATTTTGTAGGCAGTGCTGGGGCTGAGTCTCATCTACTGTAGGAATCCCTGGGTAGCACTGGTGATGGATGCCACCAGATGCCCAGCAA